CCACCAACCCCTCCCCTGGTTCCCCCGGGAGCACCACTGGATGCGCCCAGAGGAGGATGTGGCTCTGCAGGGCAGGGGACAGGGCAGGACCGCACCGTGCCCCACCTCCCACACCCCACAGCCCCACACGAGACACCCACAGGGTGTGAAACCCGGAGAGGACCGGGACTGAGGCACCGCTGAGGGATGGAGCCATCCCCGCTCCACCCAGTGCAGGGATGCAGACTCAGCAGCCTCACCCCTGGGCTCTAACCGCAGTGCCACCGTCACCAGAGGCAGGGCACACACAGAGCCCTGGGACACTGCTGCCACCACAAACACGGGGCACCAAACGCCACGCGTGCAGTGCCACAGGGGATGCTCGGGGCTGGACAAGTGATGAGCTATTAACCTGAAGGAACACAAGAGGGTGAAGGCACAGGGGGTCGTGCTGTGGGCACAGGGACACGTGTGGCAACATGAGAAGCCAAAGACACAAAGCCAGGGACAGGGGCATCAAGCAGGAACTCCCCAGAAGGATCCAGAACTGCCATCAGCTCCCCGAGTGCCATCCAAGTGGGAAGAGCACTGCTCCCGAGGCACCCAGATCAGAGCAAACCACCCCAGGAGGGACATGGCCCAGGCCCCACCATGGTCACATCCCACCCCCAGATCCCCAACAGCCCCTCCAGAGCTGCACTGAAGTTCACATCCAGGTACAAAACAAACGTTGGATGTGGGAGCCAGGCAGAGGGAGTCACCGGGAAACCCCCATTTGACCACGGTTTTCAGGTTCCTTGGGGCAGGATTTTGTTTTGGCAGAGCAGCCCCAATACTTCTGCCTTCAAGTGTTTGCTCTGCTGCTTTTCTATGGGCAACTAAGCCAAACCTGGGTTATGTGGGGGTTTAGCACTGCCATTATCACCAGGAACATGGCACATCCCAAAGGGATGCAGCAGAACGCTCTGGGGTCCAACCTTCCCCCCCATTCCCTGCAGCCATCTCAGCCAGAGAGGAGACACCTGCTTCTCCCTGCCAGCTGCCAAGAGCAGGATGGAAGCTGCAACCTCTCCCCTTTCTCCTCAAACACGAGCCCATATCTGCTACCAGAAGGAAATAAATCCCCACCCCAAGGACCTCATCACGCAGGAGCCCTAAGAGAGGAACAACGTTAACGTGACAGTGGCACCAGGACAGCCACGCCGCTCCACGAGGCAGCAACCCACCCCTGTCACTGCGAAGAGCTGCTTGGTGTCCCACCTCCCCATGGCCTCCTGCCATGGCAGCAATGGGCCCGTTAGCACTTGATTACACAGCCAGTGGGGCAGAGGTGCTCCTTTTGATCCCATGCCCATCCCATCCTTTTAATCCCATGCTCCTTTTGATCCCAGTCCCTTAGCCAGCAGGGACAGCCCTCAGGAGGGTTTTCTCCTTGGGGCCACCTCAACCAGAGCCAGGAACGTGCTCACACAAGACACATCGGACACCATCCGAGTGGTTTCTTTCCTAAACCCACAGTCGGATGCAATGGGAAGCTCCAACCCTTCAAGGAGCCCATCTGCAGGCACCGGCCCCTCGGCCTCCTGCAGTGAGCATTTTGGGGATCACCCATGTGTTCCAGCCCATGCACCACCCGCCTCCTTGCTGATGGGAATTAGCACCCACTCCAGAGGCACCAAACACGGCAAGAGTTGGCCAAGGAAATGGCTGCAGAAGAGGCTGCAGGACCTCGAGGCGCTCTGGGAGCTCTCGGGAAGTGCAGGAATGCCGCCGGCACCGCACCATGCTGTGCCACGAGCTCTTGCCTTCCACCCTCCATCCCATGGCTGGGCGCTGCAGTAATGAGCAGCCCCAGCTGCCAGCAAGCCCTGATGAGAAGCCTCTGTCTTTGCTTGATGTGAAGTGTGTAATTTGGACGATGGAAATAGCCTCTACAAAGCACATGCGGTGGCTGCGTGCCACTGACCTCTCCTGTCCTGAGCACGCTGCTCTGATTTAAGTGTGGTTACATCTCCAGCAGCTCTACAAAGGCTTCGGTGCCACCAAAGAGATGACACAGAGGAGAGGCAGCATTTGGCCACCACTAAATAACCTGTATTTTGGGTCAGCAGAGGCCTGGGAGCACTCCTGGCACAAGTAGCACGAGGTGGGGATGAGAACTCAGGTGTGGAGATCAAAGACACACAAGGTCTCCACAAGCCACGGTGCCCAGTGCAGCAGGAAGCTTGGGTCAGGCAGAGGCAGCTCTGGCTGCTCAATACAGACCAACAGTTCAAGGACAAGAAGATGAGCAGAGGCTGAAAGGCTCTGCAGCTTCCCAGCCCAAACCGAGCCCACGGGTCTCCTCGTGCCGCCCCGGGGATGCTGTGCTCCATCCGCACAGCTCAGGGTGACATTCCTTTTGCCAAAGGAACCCAAGGAAACAGCAGAGAAACCTCCCCTCCCTCCCAAGCACCTCCGGAGGCAACCAGGAGAAAGCTCCTCTCCCGGCCTGACCCATCAGCCCTGGCAGGGCTTGAAGCCCACTCTCCTGAGCGGAGAGGTCCTTGTCCCTTCCGGGTCCATCCCCACTGCAGGAATAACCTCTCCCTCAAGGACTCGGGTTGTGGAAGGTACCCTCACCCCTGGGAAAGGTTTCCATCTGCCTGGCTCACACCAGCCCACAAGCAAAGGGGTCAGAACCAGAAGCTCACTGAGCACAGAACCCCAGGTGCGGTTCTGCCGCCAGCATGCATGAAGTGATGGAACCGCCACCGCTCCCTCTTCCACACATCCCCATGCTTCTGTTGGCATCCCCACCACACCAGCTGCCAAGGACATGCCAGGTCATGGGTGGCTTGGGTAGGGAGGTTACGACTCAACAGCACAGGTCTGATGGACACGAGCAGCACAGCCCCACGGAAGAAAGGCGAGGTCTCTGCAGGGTTAAGCCCCTGCCCTGTCCACCCCAGGCATTGTCCCCACCAGCCCAGCCCTGTGGCCCCTCCACAGGGTGCTTGGCACCCCTCACAGCATGGACAATCGCCTATTTCAGCACATACACAGAGCAGGGGGAGCAGAGCACAGAGCCAGCAGTTTGGACCAGCTGACCAAGCCTTCAGGTACACGTGGAGTCCAAAGGGATGTTCCCAATGTCAAGGGCAGCCCTGGGGCCCTGAAGCACGCTCCGAGGAAGACAGAAGCAAGGCAACCACCACAGAAACAAAGGTGTGGGCACAAATCCTTGTCCCTGCTGGCAGCATCTCTGGTACCACCACCGCAGTAGGGCTGAGCATGGATGTCCATGAGCCCCCCACTGCTGCGTGTCCAGCCTGTCCTTGCTCCCTGCCCACCCCTTGAGCTCACCCTGGGGCTGCCCATGAGCTGCTCGTGCAGCCCCAAGATGCTCCAGCAGCTGCCAGACCCCTGTCAGGGTGAGTATGGGGCCAGGCAAGCACAAGCCTGCTGACCCCAGGGCTGAGGGTGATGCTCTGGGAGGCTCCATGCCCATGTGCCAGCACTAGAGCAGGGGCTGTGCCAACCCAAAGGCTCCTGTGTGTGCAGCAGGGAAGCAGGCACAGCTTTACAGATACCTCCCCTGGGCTCCTTACTCCACCTCCCAAACCTGCCCCACAGCCCCAGCCAGGCTGAATCTCACCCCTTCTCCCCACAGCAGAGCTCTGCTTGGGGCAGCCAGGAGAAGGCACCGCGAGCCAGCTCCCCAAGCACCAGAGAAGCTCCTGGACTCCTAAAAGGCAGGGAACCTGAAGGAAAGGACACACCAGGACCCCCAGCCCTGCCTATACCACTGCTCTTCCCCTCCCTCCCCACCAACCAGGGCTTTAGAGCCGGCCAGCTCCGGCACTAATGGCTGTGCAGAGGCCATTTGCCACCTTCTCACACCAGTCCGTGACACCCCACAGAGCTCGCTGGAGCCACAAGCCCCCAGCGGCCCCTGCCCAGCCAAACCCACAGGCACTGCAATTGGGAGGCAGGGAAAGAACAGGCTTCAGCAGGACACAGAGGGCTCCCAAGGCTCCCAAGGGTTCCGAGAGATCAGCACGAGGGAAGCACGAGGGCTGGATGCACCAGTACCAAGACCCAGCGCCATGCGCCATGACTGGGGCAGCGGGTCCCCGGACCAAGGGCACGACCAGCGCTGGAGGCAGCACTCGGTGCTCTCATGGAACCCTCCCACCATGCATTAATGTGTGGCTCAAGGATCAAACCCCCCAGGACAGCAAGATGCTGGTGGCCACGGGCTGAAACCAGCTCGAGCAACCCTGGTAGCAGCATCCTTGGAGAACCTTCCTCAGCCCAAGGCGCTGGAGGAGCTCTGGGTTTGAAGCCTCCTGCTCAAAGCACAGACCCTGAGCACAGCACTTCCACCGCAGCCTCCCAGCGAGAGCAGCCAAGCTTAACCCACAGGGGCAGCCACACCGACGGCAACGGTGGGGAGCGGCGGTGGCACCTCCATTGTGCTTGGTGGGGTATCGAGACCAGGGTGACCAGATACATGTGGGGGAGAACGAGCTCACCCACCTCCTGCCATTGCCCCTCATGAGGAGGCTTGAGACAAGCCCAGAGGTGGACATGAGCTGCCCCTTGGGCTGGCTGGGGGCACCTTTGCCTTTCACTGCTCCTCGCCCCTCGGCATCCCTGCTCCTCGCCCCTCGGCATCCCTGCTCCTCGCCCCTCGGCATCCCGGCTCCTCGCCCCTCGGCATCCCGGCTCCTCGCCCCTCGGCATCCCGGCTCCTCGCCCCTCGGCATCCCGGCTCCTCGCCCCTCGGCATCCCGGCTCCTCGCCCCTCGGCATCCCGGATCCTCGCCCCTCGGCATCCCGGATCCTCGCCCCTCGGCATCCCGGCTCCTCGCCCCTCGGCATCCCGGCTCCTCGCCCCTCGGCATCCCGGCTCCTCGCCCCTCGGCATCCCTGCTCCTCGCCCCCCGGCACCAGGACCAGGCCAACACAGCTTCCATCGGGCCCCTCCCGGGGGTACCAGGGCTTCCCCCCTCCCCAACGCCTCGCGCAGCACTCACCCAGCATCTGGCTGAAGAGGAGCTGCTCCAGGTCGCCCAGCACCGTGACCACCAGCTCGGGGTCCACCTTCAGGTACGGTTTGTCCTCGGCGCCCGCCGCCACCGCCGGCCCCTTCCCTCCCAGCAGCTCATCATCGCACTTGCCGCCGCCCGCCTCGGGGGCCTTGCTGAGGGGCTTCACCTCGGCGTAGGGCCCGCGGGGGATGCGGCTGGGTTTGCCGGCGGGCGGCGGCTTGGCGGGGCCGGCGGGGCGCGGCGGCAGCAGCGAGTGCTCGGAACGGGACAAGCTCCGCGACATGGCGGGCGCCTCCCGGCCGCGGGGACCGCCACCGCCCCGGCCGCCCCCCGCCGCCGCCGCCCCCGGGGCCGCCGCCTTGGCCATGTCGTCGCTCCAGCGGGGCTCGTAGAGCTGCCGCTTCTTCTCGGCGTCGGTGAGGAAGGCCAGGTTCGTGAGCGACTTCTGCTTGCGCAGGTTGGAGCCGGCCGGCAGCCGCCCCTCCGCGCTGCTCGCCTTGAAGACGCGCAGCTCCGCGCCCCGCGGCCCCGCCGCCGCCGCCGCCGCCTTCGCCCGCTTCGGCATCACCGCGCCGCCGTCGGGACCCCGCCGGTAGCCGCGCTCCTCCTCGCCCAGCTCCACGTCGGGAAGGTTCTTGAGGTTGCTCCCCAGCATCCCCGCGCTGCAACCATTTAACCCGCCGGCTGCTGCCGCTGCGGCACCGACGAACACCGGGCGAGACAGAGAGAAGAGAGAGAGGGAGAGAGAGAAGCGCCGTTAGCGCCCGCCCCGCCGGGGCGGAGCGGGACGGGGAGGAGATGGGGTGGCTGTAAGGGGGGGTGGCGGTGAGCAGCGCGGCCCCACCTCGCCGCTGCGCCGCCAGCGGGACACTGCGAACCAGCGGAATGTCGGGGGCAAACAAAAAGGGCCCGCCCTCCTCCGAGCCCCGCGGGCAGGGGGCGGGGCGCGGCGGGGACGCGCAGCAGCGAGCACGGGGGGGGGGGGGGGAGTGACCGAGCAGAGCCCCGATGGGGGGGGGGGGACGGGGACAAAACTTCCCCTTTTCACCCCAAACGGCGCTGGAAGGGGCGGCCCCGGGACCCCGCCCCCAGCGGGGCCCCTCCGGGGGGTGGGGGGGGCTGAGGGGGAGCGGGGTCTGGTTATCATCAGTGTTCATTAATTACCCGTCCCCCGGGAGGGGTGAATTAAGTCTATTTGGTGACCTCACGCGCGCTGCCATGGCAACCGCCGGAAAATATCGCATTAGAGCCCATCACCGTGCTGCCGGGATGGGGAGAGGGCAGGGCGGGGAGGGGGGGGGGAGCCCCCAGCACAGCCCCCAGCCCGGGGGGGGGGGGGGGGAAGTCGGGGTCCAGCCCGTGGTGATGCTGAGGAGCCCCGAAATGCCCCGGCCCTGGATGGGACAGCAAAGGGTGGCCAAAGCCCCCGGTGTTACCATTGCTGGCATGGGGTGGGTGCAGGAGCTGCACCCCGAAGCCGCTCTCAGTGTGCGGGGCTGTCACGGCTATGGGCTGGGTGTGGGGCCCACTGCGGGGGGGCAGATCTGGGGGTGCCGTCTCATGGACCCCTGGGACCTCCCGCTGTTCCCGGTCCCCTCCAGCCCCGCGGGAGGTGTGGAGCCAGAGAAAGGATCCGGCCCCTTCCCCAGCCCCGCGGCTCTGACCGAGTTCTGTCCCTTCACATCACGCAGCGAAGCTCCCGGCTCCTTTTCTTCCCTTTCCCTGCACATCCCTGGAGCATCCCGCCATCCTCCGCTGCCGCTGCCCTGGCAACCGCCGCCCGGCATCTCCCCCAGCGGCTGCCCCCCAAAACCTGCCCCAGAGCAGGCGCCATCGGGGATCGGATTGTCCCCAGCACCGCAGTGGGGAGCTCGCACTGGGCTCCCGAGAACGGGGGTGTCCCCGCGGTGGGTGCGGGGAGCCAGCGGCACCCGCCTCCGCCCGGCTCCGAGCCAGCTCCTTGGAAATGGGTCATTCCCGGAGCTCGCCTGGAAACTGGGAAGAGGAGGGAAAGGAGCCAAGCAGGGCCATGTCCCGGCGGCGCCATGGGACGGGACAGTCCCTCTGTGCTGCACCATGGGGGATGCTGGACCATGACAGATGCTGGACCATGGGGGATACTGGACCATGGGATACTGGACCATGGGATGCTGGACCATGGGATGCTGGACCATGGGGGATGCTGGACCATGGGGAATACTGGACCATGAGGGATGCTGGACCATGGACCATGGGATGCTGGACCATGGGGGATGCTGGACCATGGGGATGCTGGACCATGAGGGATGCTGGACCATGAGGGATGCTGGACCATGAGGGATGCTGGACCATGAGGGATGCTGGACCATGAGGGATGCTGGACCATGGGATGCTGGACCATGGGGGATGCTGGACCATGAGGAATGCTGGACCATGGGGGATGCTGGACCATGGGGGATGCCAAGGTGGCTCCTGCACCTGGGTTTGGTGATGCCTCTGGTTGTAGGTTTTTAGCCGTGGGAGTCACTGGATACGGGAGCTGCAGCCATGTCATTCCCAGAGGAATTGGGGCACAGCTTATGTGGGGGTTCCCCCTCGGATTCCATTCCAGCACATGCCCGCGGGGGTCTGAGCTCCACACGACCCCCTGCCCCCCCTGCAGGACCCCCCCCCCCATCCCCAGCAAACCCCCCTGGACTCACTTGGGCCTCCAGGTTTGGGGTCGGGGTCAGGTCCAGGGCACTCGTCACCCTCCTCCCGGCGCTCCTGCAGCCTGGAGGGCAGAGCGGGGTCAGGGTGTGGGAGCAGGGGCACATTGTGGGGTGCAGCTGGCTGGGGACCCCCAGGAGATGGGAACGCGGTGCCTTGGGCTCTGCCAGGGCTAGGGGACACTGGCAAGGGGGGGTCCTGGTGCACTCTGTTGCCCACTGAGCCCATCTCCTGCCCCACACCTGCTCCCATGGGTGCTCCAAAACCCCCAGCACCCCAAACCCAGTTGGAACCCTCCCTGTGGGGCAGAGCCCCCAGACCCAACCCCACTATTCCCCATGACCACCCTCACCACGTCACCTGCCTCCCCATGTCCCCCTGTCCCCATAAGCCCCATCCCCGGGGACTCACCGGTACTGGAAGGGTGCCACGGTGGCAGTGACGGGGTGATTGTGTGGGGCACCCGAGGAGAAGGTGATGGCCCCCGACCCAAATACAGGACCCCTCCCCTGCGAGCCACTGTGGGGCTCATCCCCCATCCCTGCCACGGTCACCCCACTGCCCTTCCCAGGGCCAGCCCCCAGCCGCCCCCCAGCCCTGCCCTGTGCTGGGGGAGCCTTGGGGAGCTCAGGGGGCTCCCTTGCCCTGCCTGCCCCTCTCCTCCCACTGCCCCCTGCTTCTGGCCACTTCCCGGGGGGCACCAGGGGTCTCGCTGGGACCTTCTGCCCCCCACGGCGGGGGACACCGGGGCTGCCCCCAGTGCCCTCGGCAGCTCTGCCTTTGGGTTTGAGGGTCCTGGGGCCGGGGGCTGGCTGGGGGGACAGAGCCCTGGGGGACACGGGGGGGGCCGTGGTGCTGGGGGGGGGCACAGTGTGTGGTTTGCCATGGGCCATAGCGCGGGGCACCGGGATGGCAGAGGCGAAGTGGCTGCGGGCGGCAGGGTTGACGTTGGCTGTCCCGTTCATCCCGGCGCTGGCGAGGCTGTGGGGAGAGAGCAGGGATGAGCAGGGCGAGGGGTGGCCATGGCAGCACCCACATCCCCGCAGACACAGTGGACCCCGGCCTTGACCCCTGCTGACTGTGGTGCTCAATGGCCTCATCCCGGGGGAGGCTGCGGCACCCCACAGAGGGAGGATGCATGTGATGCCCCCCCCACAGGGATCCCCACAGCACTTGTGACATCCTCCCCCAGGGACCCTGTGCAGCCCCATCCCAGGTCCCTGTGGCAGGTCCCTGCAGCAAGGCCACATGGCACAGTGCCTCAGAAGACAGGGCTGCATCACATGTGGGATGGGAGCCTCTTGGCCACCCAAAACCTTCTCCTTGTCCTTGGAACCACTTCCTGGTCCAACGAGACCATGTCCCAGACATCCGAGACCATCTCCTGGTCACAGAATCATCATAGAACCATGGAATGGTTTGGGTTGGAAAGGAACTTAAGATCATCCAGTTCCAACCCCTGCCATGAGCAGGGATGCCTCACTCTAAACCAGAGAAGTGGTGAATGCTCCATCCCTGGCAGTGTTCAAGGCCAGGTTGGACAGAGCTTTGGGTGACATGGTTTAGTGGGAGGTGTCTCTGCCCATGGCAGGGGTTGGATCTGGATGATGTTAAGCTCCTTTCCAACCCAAGCCATTCTATGGGTCTATGATTCTCCTTCCAAACTCGTCGTCTGCTTCGGGACCGATTCCTGCCCCATCTGAGCTCTGCCCCTGCAGCAGCAGGGGAGCACCGCATCACCTGCACCGCTTTGCCTGGCTAAAGCAGGTTACAGCTTGACCTACATAGGCACAGGCGCCTCCTCTGCAATCAGATCCAAAGGGAAACAACTTTCTCCTTTAATGCCACTGAGCACAGAGCTCCGTGTGCCCGGAGCAGCTCTTGGGAACCGGCTGCCACCATCACCGAGTGATGGGAGCACCAGGACTTTGCCCCAGATGCTTCAGTTTGGGGGTTTCAGCCTTGTCCCCTCACCAGGTACCAGAATATACACACAAGGTGTAAGAGCTCCAGAGTTCAGGCCCAGAGCACTGAGCCAACAGCTACCGGCTCCAGCGCTGAACTCCGGTTTTCCCTGAATTAAAGAGCTCTAAGCCCAGAGATGAGGCGGTTTCAGATCCCTTCAGGTGATTCCTCCACAAAGACACGGGTGTTCACACTGAAGGAAAACGAAACAGCCTTGGCCGAGCGTGTCCTTCATCCCAGGGCAAGCACAACCCAGCACATCCCTGAAGGCATCTCTTTCAAAGAGGCATCTGTTGTGCTTGGAGCTGGAGCTATGTCCTCATCCCCGTGTCCAAATGCACCCCTTATGTGAGACTTTAGCAGCCAGAAACGATTACAGGGGTCTAGAGTCTCATTTAATGTCCCCATTTCCTATGTGAGGGGTCACTGGAGCACCCCCAGCATTGAAACAGATGCGCTTTGGAGCCATCCATCACCTGAGCACGTGTGATGGATGCCTCAGAGGGATCCAACCCCCATGGTCTCAAGAGCCAATGGCTACGCAGCATTTCACTGCTCCTGAAACGTTTCAAGGTGACTTTTATAAACCAGATTAAATTTGCTCCTCTCTTATCTCTTGCAGTTTACAGGTCCCTGATGGGGATGGAACTGCCCTGTGCCCCCGGGTAACTGTGCCAGGAGCCTGAGCACGGACGCTTGGTGATGCACAAAGGCACGAAACCCATCAGCCTCTGCTGGCATCCTGCTGCCACTTCGTGCCTCAGTTTCCCCACCCTGCCACGGCCTCTGCTCAGGGTGAGGGAGCTGAAACCAGGCTGGGAAATAGGGATAAAGGAGGACGGATCCTGCAGAGCAGCTCCATGATCAGGAGCCACTCTTGAGACCGGCAGCAGAGGAGTGCCGGGGGCTGCAGCAGGGCCGGGTGAGGAGCTGAGCCCATCCTGGTGCCCCGACACGGCTGCCCCTCGAAGCAGCCCTGTGCTTCTTGCACGAGGAACCAGCCCATTGGGAATGGCTCCAGCACGGCCGCCTCCCCGGCACGCTCGGAAGAGGGACAAAGAAAAGGCTCCTTGTGGCACAAGGGACATCAAACTTCCCTAAGAGAAACAGAGGGAGCGGGGGCAGAGCAGAGCCTTCAGAGGAGAACAAGCTCCTGATTCAGACACCAGCCCCATCCCTCCGGCCCCGGTGCCCTGGCCGGGACCTGGCCAGGCTGTGGGACACTGCCAGTGCCTGGGACATCGCCACCGCCACAGCGCTGAGCCCTGGCTGGGCTCCTTGGTGCTCCGGAGGGGCAGGCTCCATGGCTGATGAGGGTGGGGGCAAGGGGGGCCCGGGCAGCGCTGCTCTGCGGGGCTGTTTCCCCCCAGCTCGATGCTGGGGGCTCTGGGAGATGAGCTTCGGGCTGGGGCAGGAGGATGGAAACCGCCTGTGGTAGGAGCAGGGATGCGCAGCCCCTCAGGCACGGCACCGGTCTCCGCTGCACAGCAATCCTATTATGCACTTAACCCACGCCAATACAACCTTGCTCCGAGGAGAGTCCAGCTCTCAGGGCACCGACTGCAGCAGCTCCTGCCCCCAGCAGCCCCGCGGACAGGACTGAAACCGAACCGTGCCCGGGATGGGCTTTGCCGGGCACAAATCCTGCTGGGACAGAGCCAGGAGCTGCGCCAGGATCTGTGCGAGGGGCTGTGCAAGGAGCCCCGGTGCCGAAGGCCTCTCGCTGGCCGGGGATGTCCCGGCTCCCTGTGGAGGTGCCTGGGGTCCCCACGGTCCCGCCGGACCCCTCACGGATCCCGCACCTCACCGGGGCTGAGCACGGCGGCTCTGACCCGCCCCGGGGCAGCAAAGGGGGGTACTAGGGGCCAGGGTGCCCCCCAGGTCCCAGCCCGCTGGGTTCCGCGGTGATGGGTGCCGGGGTGCGGGGGGGGGCAGCGGGGGAGCCCGTTCAGGAGGCGCCGGTGCTGGACAGCTCCGCCCCCGGCCATGCCGAGGGGGACACGGGAGCCACCGGTCACCGCGGAGCCCGGGGTGGCCTCATAGACCCACGGCCTGGGATGTGTTGGAAGGGACCTTAAAGCTCCTCCAGCTCCAACCCCTGCCATGGGCAGGGACCCCTTCCATAGAGCAGCTTGCTCCAAGCCCCTGTGTCCAACCTGGCCTTGAACACTGCCAGGGATGGGGCAGCCACAGCTTCTCTGGGCACCCTGTGCCAGCGCCTCAGCACCCTCACAGGGAAGAGCTTCTGCCTAAGAGCTCCTCTCAGTCTCCCCTCTGGCAGGTTAAAGCCATTCCCCCTTGCTTCAGCATCCAGCACTGTGGCCGAAAAGCAACATTTCCCATTGAGCTCCATGAGGCTTCAAACCTTTCTCAAACCCTCTCCAAAATCTGCCCCAAAACCTCTGTGCTCAGGATCCTCCCGCCCCTTGTCCTGGCCGGACCGAGCCCTTGGCCAGGAGCCATCCCGCAGCCCCGGTGCAGGCACTTGGACACTCGGGTGAGCTTCCGCCTCTTCCCGAGCCCCCCCGCAGCCGATTGCATCATTCATTGAGCTCCCGCATCGCGGACCTGCCCTTTGCTCCCGGGAGCCTGGAGCAGGAGCAGATGTCGCAGCATCTGCGCTCGCCGGCACCGCTTGGAAACGGTGCCCCCCCGGTCCTGAGCACTCGATCCGGGACCCCCCTCGATCCGGGACCCCCCCCCCCGCAAAACGCATCACCTCAGCAGATGCTGCTGCAGCCGCACGCAGACACATGCGGTGATGCTCGGGGGGGAGCTGGGCTTGACTTCCCACCCCAGCATGCACGGGTGAGCCCCCCGCTGCCTGTCCCTCCTCCCAACATTCATCTCCCCAAGCCAGCGGGCAGAGCGAGGGCTTCAGGCCACCCAAAAATGTCCTTTTTCCCCCCAAATTAAGTTACGGATTTGGAAGACGCTGCAGGGGGTGCGGGGTGGGGACACAGCAAAGGGGCCACAGCAGGAGCTTGAATCCTAAGAGCAGAGCCACAGCCTGGGCTGGGTTTGTGCCTTCGCTGAGCCACCAAGCTCCAGGCTGGGGCTGGATCTGCTCCGGGCAATGAACCAGGTGAGGGAAAATCAGCTCCCAGCTGCAATTCCCAATTGACACCCCCCCCCGGTACGGGCTATTCCCAGCCCCCCTGCCAGGTCTTACCTGGGCAAGTGGGATGAATCTCTCTCCTCTCAGCCCAATAATCCCTCGTACAACAAATCAGTCCCTGTTCTGCAGCCAGGACTCTTCCTGGCAGAGCGCCGGTAGCACCCCAGGGCTGTTCCCCTGGGACAACCGGGTATCTGCGATGGAAAGCAAAAGCCACCGGGAGCCCTTAATGGGATGAGTGGATTTTCCAGTGAGCTGCAAATCCACAGCAGCTGCTGGCAAACAGCTCCCTGCTGAGGCCCTGGGGGCTGCAGCAGTGCCTGTGTCCCCCCACCACCACTGCCAGCTTCCAGTGACAGTGACAGTGACCCTGGGGCTCAGCAGAACAACCCCAAGTGCGTTCCTGATGCCAACATCCCCAAAGAGCTGGGGATGGCCACTTACACTGGAAGAGGCAGGCAGGGGCTGGCAATGCCACCCCGACCCCAGCACCCCCCCATCAGCCCCAGAGCAGGCAGCAGTTCCGGTCCCACCATCCTTGTACAGCTAAAATCGAACCTTCCACCTCCAAGAGATGCAGATAACAGAGCCACCGTGGGGCCATCACACCCAGAGGGGAGCCTGAGCATCCCTTGAGCATCCCTTGAGCATCCCTCCAGCATCCTTTGAGCATCCCTTGAGCATCCTGCAGCGAGCAGCCCATAGGAGGAAGGCAGCACTCCCGCCTGCCCCCTCGCCCACTCCATGGTGCATCCTCCCCATCCAGGAACCAGAAGGGGTGGAGGAGAAGCCAGGACCCGGTGAGCTATCGCCCGGCCCCGGGCAGGGGGAGTTTCCGCTGCTTGCGGTGACAGTGCTCAGCCGCATCCGCACAGGCTCCATGGCCGTGTCCAGTGGGAGTCAAGGATGAGGGTAGGGGGACGAGAACAAACCCACCTCCTGCAGCTCCCACCTCCTCTCCTCCGCGAGAGGCAGGGAGCCCATTGGATCCATAGCAGGAGGCATTAACTCGAGTGCTGGCTCCCGTCCTAAACCCACTTCCCCCAGCACAGCCGAGACCTTCACAGCCCAATTCCCACATCCTGGCAGTGAGGGGATGCCAGGACACCAGTCCCACAGCCCCGGCTGGCCCTGGGGATGGGTGGCTTGTCCCCACCTGCCCCCTCCCCATGCGATGCCTTGGAGCACCCCAACCCCTGGTGCCTGCAGGGCAGCACCCGGGCTCCTGGCTCCATCCCCGCTGTGGCCCAATCCAGGCAGCGCTGGAGGCAGCTCCCGCAGCCGCTGGTTAAGGAAAACCCCGCAGTTTCTGTCGCTTCCCATGGCAGTGGCTGGCGCCGGGCCCCCTCCCGCTGAGCATCCCCTAATCCAGGCAGTTAATCCGGCACCAGCACCCGATGTCCATAGCCCTGCCCAGACCCACGGCACGGCCACGCAAAGCTCGTTAGAGGCCCCGTGTTAAGGAGCAGGGCTCAGGCCGTGCCATCAAACGCAGCAGGGAAGCCACCGGAGCCTGCCCAGGCTGGGGACACGGGGGGTGGTCCCAGTCACCCCATCCCTGGGGACACATCCCTGTCACTGCCCCCCTGCGGGGGGTACAAAGGGGCTGCCCCCCAAGGGACATCCCAGCAAGGGATCCCGAGGGCCTCCCATCCCCATCCCATTGGGTGGCCCCAGTCCCTTTGCTGGGGTCGAACCTCCCCAGGGGCAGTGAGGGGACGTCCCGCAGCAATGCGAGGTCGGAGTCACCTCGAGGGACCCCATTCCCCTCCCCGTCCCCCCCCCAGCCCCGGCTCCAGCTCTCCCAGCTCCACTTGGATCCTGCTCCAGCCAGGAAGCAGGAACACGGCCCCGGGCACGCGGGGGCACCGGGCACCTTCCCGGCCCCACCACGGCTCCAGCCCGGCCCAGAGGCTGCACCCCCAGCACCAGAGCCCGGGGTGGGGGGAATACCTGCCCCCCCCCCCCCCCCATCTGCCCATGGCCTCAACCCGTGTCCCCATCCGGGCCCCGCTCCCGTCCACAGCGGAAACACCTTTTTCCTGTCCATGGGGCTGCAGCGCAGGGAGGGCAGCAGGAAAGAGCCTCGCGTCTCCGAGGGCTATTTATAACCTGCGGCCAGCCAGGCCGCCCCATTCCTGCCCCACGGTGTCCCGTCCCCTCCTGCCCCACGGCGTCCCCTCCTGCCCCACAGAGTCTCCCCCTGTGCCCCAAGCCCTGCTTCAGCCACCGCCAGCAGCATCCCTGACCCCATCCCAGTCCAATCTCTGTCCACATTCCCATCCCGTCCCATTCCCATTTCAAGTCTCATTCCCATCTCATCCCACACCTTGTCCCCATCCCCATTCTTGTTCCTGTCTTCATCCCCAATTCCAACCCCATCTCATCCCAATCCTCATCCTCATCCCTCTCCCGGTCCTCGTTCCCCTCCCCACACACCAACACTCAGCCTTGCCCCCCCCCTCAGCAGAAGGAAGAGGCCCAAATCCTGCCTCAGGGACATCATTCCCATCACCCAGCCCCACACTCCCCATCCCACCCCATCTCCCCCTGTTCAGGCCCACCCTGGTCCCTCAGGAGCGGGTTCCCTATGCCGGGGATGTGCTGCACTGTGGGGAAACTGAGGCAGGGGTTGGGCAGGGCAGGCAGAGCCCAGCTCTTGTCCACCCATGGAGCGCAGTTACTCAGCTCCTGCAAATGACTCAGCCAGGATCCGGCCGGGACAACCGGGATTTCCTGACTCAGCTTCCCCAGCCACAGAACCGTGTTTGAGGGGCTCCAACCCCACCAGGCACCAACACATGGGACGTGGGGATGCTCCAGCACCCCAAGGTAGCTCGGGCATCCCTGCACCTGAGCATGGCCGAGCATCCCCGGCGTGTCAGAACATCCCCCAGGGTGGCTGAGCACCCATCAGACCCCTTTGCTACCAGTGGAAACAGCACTGAAATCCCTGCCAAAGTCCCCACAGCACCCCCCCATGGAGCACCCACAGGTGCCCGTGACCCTCCAGCATCCTCCCATGCTCAAAGCCGGGCTCAGACACCACGAGCTGCTCCGCCTGCAGAGGGAAGACGTGGGGCAGCCCCACACACGCTCCCTAGAGAGCCAGCACCCATTTCAGCCGCTGCCGTGCCTCAGTTTCCCCATGTCACCCGCGTCACTGGGGATGCAAGGTAGGAACAGGCAGCCCCGGCTGCCACCTCCAGCTCCCACCCCCCCCCCCAACCAGGGATGGGGGTCCAGGGGACACCGGGGGGGGCACAGGGACACGGGAATTTGCCCGCCGGGCCCCGCTGTGGGTCCCAGTGCTGAGACCCGGTCCCCGTGGGGAGATGGGGACACTGGTGGGCACAGAGCAGGGGGGCTGCGCCGGGTGTGAGCCGGTGCCAGTCCCTGCAGCGGCTGCGGTCACCCCCGGGCGCTGCCACCGCCGCTCCCCGCAGCACGACCCCAGCACCTCGGTGCCCCCCCCCCTCGCCGTCCCCTCCCCGTTACCCCCGGTGCCGCCGCCCCGGTCCCTGCCGCGCTCACCGCTCGCTGCGCCCCGTCCCGCCGCTGCCGAGGGACCCCGCGCTGGCCGGGCCGGCCCCGGGGAGGAGTCGCGCAGGCCCGGGCCCGGCCCCCGGGACACGGCCCCGCCCGGCCCCCGGTGCCGCTGCTGCCGGGACGCGGAGCCCGGGATCCCCCCCCGCATCCCCCTGAATGCCCCCCATGGGTTCCCCTCACCCGGATCCCGCCCGGGTCTCCCCATGGGTATCCCAAAGGGATCCCCCCCCGGATAGGTCTCCCCCATGGGTCTGTATCCACATCCCCCCTCCGCACCCCCCCTGATCCCTCTTGGATGTCCCTCATGGGTTCCCATGAATGACCCATGGATTCCCCCCCCCAACCTCCGATCCCCCATGGGGTTCCCATACGGATCCCTCAGTTTCCCTCCCTGATCCCGCTGGATTCCACACACACACACACACACACACACTCCCCGCCCCACGACCTCTCCCCGCTTCTCCCTCGCATCCCTCCTGGGTGCCCCCCATGGATTCCCCCCCCCGGACCCTACACTGGGTCTCCCGAATGGATCCCCCATGGGTCTCCCTCCGGTCCCTCTCCGGATCCTCCCTGGGTTCCCTCACCCATGTGCCCACCTCCCCCCTGATCCCCCATGGGTCTCCCCCCAGAACTCCCCCTCCGGTTCCCTCACCCATGTGCCCGCCTCCCCCCTGATCCCCCATGGGTCTCCCCCCAGAACTCCCCCTCCGGACCCCCCCGGGTTCCCTCACCCATGTGCCCACCTCCCCCCCGATCCCCATGGGTCTCCCCCCAGAACTCCCCCTCCGGTTCCCTCACCCATGTGCCCACCTCCCCCCTGATCCGCCACGGGTCTCCCCCCAGAACTCCCCCCTGGGTTCCCTCACCCATGTGCCCGCCTCCCCCCCGATCCCCATGGGTCTCCCCCCAGAACTCCCCCTCCGGTTCCCTCACCCATGTGCCCACCTCCCCCCTGATCCCCCATGGGTCTCCCCTACGGATCCCCCCTCTTTCCCCTCCCGGATGGATCTCCCCATTCCCGGCCCCGCCCCCTTTCAGCGATAACCCCGCCCCCTTCCCGCGGCAGCCACGCCCCCTTCCCGCGGTAGCCACGCCCATTTCCCCATGACCACGCCCGTTTCCCCCCCTTGGCCCCGCCCCTCCCGCCGCGATGTCGGCGCGCGTTGGTGACGCGGCCTCCGCCAGCAGCGCGGGCTCGTGGTGCCTGCGGCACCTGCACCTGTCCCTGCGCGTGGCCTTCGCGGGCGCGGGGCGGCTGCGCGGGAGCGCGCGGCTCGAGCTTCGGCGCGCTCCCGGCGGCGGCGCGGAGGGGGAGGCCGCGGGGGTGCTGCGGCTGGACGCGCACCGCAGCCTGAACGTGCTGGGAGCGGCGCTGCTGCCCGGCCATGGGGAGCCCTCCCCGGGCGCGCCGCAGCCGCTGCCCGTGCGGACCGAGCCCTTCGCCAGCTTCGGGCGGGCGCTGCTCATCACCGTGCCCCGCGCCGAGCAGCGCCTCTCGCTGCGCATCGACTACGAGGCGGGCGAAGGGCCCGGGGTGAGCGGGGAGGGGACACCCGGCTTCCCTCCGGGCACGGAGCGGCCCCCCCGGGGTGAGCCCCTCACCGCGGCCTCTGCTCTGCTCTGCCCGCAGGTGTGCTGGCTGGCGCCCGAGCAGACGGCAGGGAAGCAGAAGCCCTTCATGTACACCCAAGGCCAGGCTGTCCTCAACAGGTCCTTCTTCCCCTGCTTTGACACCCCGTCCGTCAAATGCACCTACTCGGCCACCGTGAAGGTAAGAGGGGCCCCGGGGTGCACCCACACCCAGCGGAGCTGAGCCCACCCTGAGCTTACTCACATGGGAGCCTGTTGGGATGCGCTGAATCCCTGCAGCATCACCTCACCGGCCGTGCTGCTCATCGCGCTCTCAAGTCCTCCGGCACTGGCATGCAGCAGGGAAGACACCGAGCTATCATTCATACAGGCTCCTGTTTTCCTTCTCTGTTCCTCTCCAGAGGAACACGAGCAGACCCCAATGGGCCTCGTGCTGCTCCCCCCAGCACAGGCCCCATGCAATGGCTGCGAGCAGGCGCACGTGCTGCTGTCCTACCAAGTTCTTCTCTCACAGCAGGAGGTGGCTGAAATACTCAGTGCTTGATGTCCAAATGCCAGCCAGGATCAACTCCGTGTAAACCTCTCTGCTCTCCTCTGCTGCTGCATTTCATAGCATCACAGAGTCATGGGATGGTTTGGGTTGAAGGGACCTTAAAGCTCATCCAGTTCCACCCCTGCCATGTTAAGGGACACCTTCCACTAGAGCAGCTTGCTCCAAGCCCGGTCCAACCTGGCCTTGAACACTGCCATTTGCCTAAGTAATTCCTCTAACTACCACAGAGACCCCTGGTTTTGCCTCATAGCAGCCTGAGGGCAGCAGGGCATCTGCTCTTGGTGTGTGTAGCAGTGGGAGGGTGACAAGGACAAGCTGAGTGGGGGGACCAATTGCACCCAAATGGTGTTTGAGCCCCAGAGCTGAGCGATGCTGCTGCAGGGATGCCGCTGCGATCCCGAGTTGGAGCCCAGGGCATTGCTGCTCTGCTCGGCCCATCAAAACCTGCAGTGCCACAGACCTGGCCACCTTCAGCGTGCTGGGACACATTGAGCAGCAGACATCGCAATGTCCCCAGGTGGGTTAGCTGACATCCCTCTCCATACGTCACGGATGTAATAGGTGTATTTATCTCCATGGCCAGGTCCCTGAGGGTTTTGTGGCTGTGATGAGTGCCACAAGCTGGGAGAAGAAGGAAGACAACACCTTCGTCTTCAAGATGTCCCAGCCAATCCCCTCCTACCTGATTGCTCTGGCCGTTGGGGACATTGTGGCTGCTGACGTGGGCCCAAGGTACATGGCTCTGTACTGAGCTCACCGAGCTGCACGGTGAAGCTCCTGGGCCTGCCCTGCACTGCTGGGCTCTGCAGAGCATGACCCAATGCTGCATCCCCAGGGCCCAGCTGTGATGGGTGAGGATGCTCCTTGCTCTTGGTGCCGGTTACCTCAGCTCCTAGGGAGTCCCTGGCTCTGTTTCAGCCCTGTGCATGCTGGTGAGAGCTGTCCCCATTCACAGAGGCCCCACGTCTCTCCAAGGCCGGGGGTTTGCTCAGGTTCCAGCTGTCACAGCCACCATATAAAAGCCCTTTGACTTTCAGACAAGGAAAGGAATCAGAGCAGTTTGCGCTATCAATCAGTCTCATGAGCTTCCTTTATCAGCTGTTACTTTGCTGTGGAATAAACACGTGTGGGTTTTGGCTGAGGAAGCAATAGGGTGAAAGTCCACCAGTGGTTAAAGGTTCCTCTCTACACACTTGGCCAGGAGCCGTGTCTGGGCCGAGCCCTGCCTGATCGAGGCTGCGAAGAAGGAGTATGATGGGGTGATCGAGGAGTTCCTGGCGGTTGGAGAGAAGCTCTTTGGACCTTATGTTTGGGGCAGGTATGGCTCTGCTCCCAGAGGACCTTGTTCCCGGAGCATGGCTCCATCATCCCATTGCATCCGCAGGAAGAGGTGGGTCTGACCAGTCCGTTCCCCCCCCCTGCAGGTACGATATCCTGTTCATGCCGCCCTCCTTCCCCTTTGGTGGGATGGAGAACCCCTGCCTCACCTTCGTGACGCCGTGCCTGCTGGCTGGGGACCGCTCCCTGGCCGATGTCATCATCCACGAGATCTCCCACAGCTGGTTTGGCAACCTGGTCACCAACGCCTCCTGGGGCGAGTTTTGGCTCAACGAGGGCTTCACAATGTACGCCCAGAGGCGCATTTCCACCGAGGTCTATGGTGCGTGGCCTCACCACGGGGCCCCATCCTTTTCCTCCTCTCCCAGCTCACGAGTTGACACTGTTTCCCTCCCATAGCAGCCCCCATTGGGTTCGCAGCACACAGGGGTCTGGTTGGGGTCTCCAAACGCCTGCCTCTTGTCCCTGCCCAGGTCTGGCGTACACGTGCCTGGAGGTGGCGACGGGAAGGGCCCTCCTGCGCCAGCACATGGACAACACCGGGGAGGAGCATCCGCTCAACAAGCTGCGCGTGGTCATTGAGCCAGGTCTGTGGGAGCGAGGTGTGGGGCTAGGGGCAGCCCTGCTGCTATGGGGCTTCCTGCCTGCAGTACAACCAGTGCTGGTGCCTGAGGCAGGTGATGGCTCCAGGAGGGATGTGATGGATGCGCAGCCAGCACAGGAAGCGGAAATCTTAGCACATGAGGGCTGTTTTCTGTGCAGATTCCTGAGGGCTTTCCCTTGCTCTAGGTATCAATCCCGAGGACACATACAACGAAACGCCCTACGAGAAGGGGTTCTGCTTCGTGAGCTACCTGGCACATCTGGTGGGGGACCAGAGCAAGTTTGATGCCTTCCTCCAGGTCGGTACAAGGAGGTGCCAAGTCACATGAAACTCTTTAGTGGGAGCACAATGGGACTGTGGGAAGGATGGGCTGGGCAGGGCTGCTGGGGAGAGGAAGAGGAGATGAGAAACAGAGATGTTCATGTGGGGATGAGATGAGGGCAGAGCTTGGCCCCATGCCCATGGTAGCTGGTGGCAATGCCCAGAGGACTCCTGGGGGGTACAGGGGCTGGCGTGGACTCAGCAAGGCTAAACCCCCATGAGACGGAGCAGCACCGTGGGGTGAGCACATGCAGCATCGTGCCCTGGCCATCCCCACAGGCCTACGTGAACCGGTTCAAGTTCCAGAGCATCACAGCAGACGATGCCCTCGGTTTCTTCCTTGAGTACTTCCCGGAGCTGAAGGAGAAAGGCGTGGACTCCATCCCAGGTCAGTGCCTTCCCGGCCAGGGGACCGGGCTCTGCTTTGCAAACCATGGGCGTTGGAGCCGTTGCATGTCCCTCAGACCCCGTGCACGTTGGTTTGTGTGTCTCACTGGAGACAACTGCCTTGGCCTGGCCTTGTCCCCGTCCCCAGGCAGGTTTGCTGGTGCTGGGGGTGCCCTCAGAGGAGGCAGCTTGGGCTCAGCTCTCCTTCCCTGCAGGCTTCGAGTTCAGCCGCTGGTTGGACACGCCGGGCTGGCCTCCCTTCCTGCCTGACCTCTCACCCGGGGATGTGCTGATGAAGCCAGCAGAGGAGCTGGCGTTGCTCTGGGCAGCCGATGGCTTGGACATGGAGGCGATTGAAGCCGTGGACATCACGGCCTGGAGGACGTACCAGCTGGTCTACTTCCTGGACCAGGTCCTGCAGAAGTCCCCCCTGCCACAAGGTGAGGGTCAGCTCGTCCCCTGGGGCTCTGCTGCCCAGAGGGGACACGGGGTGATGTCCTGGTCCAGCCAGGTGGCCAGGGACGTGAGACCACATCAGAAGGACTCATGGGTGTGTGGCCATCCACCCGTCTCCAGCGCAGTCCAGCAGTGTGGTTCCTGGTGTCTGGGAGGCCTCTGTCTGTGTGGCTGTGAAAGGAAAGCCAGGGAAGCATGTCCCTAAGATGTACGGGGACATCCCAGAGGGTTTGCAGCACAGCCGGGATGGGCTCGCTGGGTCTCTTCGGAGTAGGAGCAGGGCCAAAGCTGCCACGTGGATGGTGACCATCCCCTTCTTGCAGGCAATGTGGAAAGGCTGAGCAAGATGTACCCAAAGATCTCCAGGTCCCAGAACGCCGAGCTGCGACTCCGCTGGTGCCAGATAATCCTCAGGAACGACCTTGAGGCCGAGTACAGCAAGGTCAAGGACTTCCTCCAGAGCCAGGTTTGTCCCTGGGCAGTGGTGGTTGTGCCCAGCAGCGTGCACTGGGGCAGGGATGGGCAAGGGGCACAGGACCTTCAGTGCCAGATGGCCGGAGGTTGGCTCTTGCTATTGATAGAGCAACAGATTGGTTTGTGTTGAAAGGACCTTAAAGCTCATCCAGTTCCAACCCCCAGCACACGGGGGGTGCCCATTCCTCTGTGTTCTCTCTCTGGTGAAGAGCAGGGCGCTGCTGGGGGTGCTGTGCCCTGGGAGGGGAGATGTGGGGTTCCAGGGGCTTCACCCTGCTGGAGCCAGGGAGGAGGCTGGGCTGTGATCCCCGCTCTGTCTCCGCAGGGGAAGCAGAAGTACACCCTGCCCCTCTACCGCGCCATGTGGGCCGGGTCGGAGGCAGCCCGGGCCCTGGCCATGGAGACCTTCTCTGCTACAGCTCCCCAGCTCCATGTCAACGTCCAGAACTACGTCAAGAAGATCCTGGGCTTGGAGGTGGCCGAGGCCTAGTGGTGCTCCTGGGCAGGACCTCTCTGCTGCCTCCTTCACTGCACGTTTCCTCATTAAAATCTGTTCTTTTTCCTCTGTTCCTGTTCCCAGTGAGCCTCAGCGGGACTCCTGCTCCTCCTGCCCAGGAGCCAGGCTCTCACCCCACATGGGGACCCTGCCAGCTCTGGTCAGGGGTGGGCAGGTTGCTCCAGGAGGCTGGTGGCTTCTCCTGGTGCTGGTATAGGAGGGATGGGTCTGGCGCTGGCATCTTCAGGGCTGGAGCAGCTGGAGGCTGGTCCTTGCCGGGCTCCTGCCAAGCCATCACCGATCCCATGTGTAAAGTAAAAGAGTAAAGCTCCTCTCCTTTCTGTGGCACGGGAAGCATCCAGCACCCAGGGAGCTGGGGAGCTGCTGCTGAGCTGGCTGGGAAGGGCTCTGCCTCCATTCACCTTCCTGCAAAGGCAACAACTAATGAAGACACTTCAGCGTGAAATCAGTGACGAGATGTAGCACAGTTATTTTTAACAAAGTGACCTTCATCAAGCTCAGAGCTCTTTTTGCTTCTTTTTTTTCCAAAATGAAAGCCAAGTCAATCACGAAATGCCAGGGGAAGATGTTAACTCTTTATTAATAAATTGATCTAGAAAGGCTTACTGAGACAGGATTAATGGATTTGGTGTGCAGGATGGACCACTGTAATCTTCTAGTGTGAGCTGCTGCAGAGCAAGGCCTGGCCCTCCTGCAGCCCACCAGTGGAGGCAGCTGCAGAAGGGTTTATCTTTTAATCCACACCATGGAGAGTCTCTGACAAGTCCCTCCATCCTGCTCCAACAGTCACAGCCTCCCTGCGAGCACCACACACTGCTTCCAGTTTTATGTGACTTCCCCTGTGTCAGCTGAAGTTCTTTAAATAGCCTTGAAATCCTGTGTTTCCAAGTATTAACACCACCCTTCCTCACGACTGCTTTCTTTTACAGTATAAAAGTAATAATGGGCCTGATTCTGAACTTAGTTACTCCCCAAACCACATGGAATAAATTAATTCCTGCAATGGTTTCAATTTGACATTTGCGTAAGAGAGACCAAACCCTTCGCCACAAAGGTACAAACCAAGCAAATCCACAGGAGAGCACGTCAGCTGTCCATGCTCCTCGGGAGCCTGCTGTACTGCGTAGACACTGTGAGCAGCTCGGTATGGAATGGTAGAAGAGAGAGCCAGCCATAAAGTGCTAGTTTGTTTGAGGAACAAGGGAGAAGCTCGATTACCAAAGCGTGTCAAATGTCTGAGCCCAGCTCCGCGCACTGCTTGTCTGATATGTGGTTAGCTAAGGACTCTATGATGTCAAGAAGGAGGAGCTGACTCAGGGAGCGGAGATTTGGCAACTTGGAGACCTTCAAGGAAAAGAAAAACAGAACAGAAAACAACAGAAAGGAATTAAAGCCCTCCCCAAATGGCAGCTGATGTCGCAGCAGTTCACCCCAGCCACCCCATGTGAAACAGGTAGAGCCTGGGCACATACGGCATGAAATCGCAGCCCTGGGCTCCGGTCATGACTTCCTGCACTTGGAACCGAGTTTCAGACTGCTGCATGGAGGGCATGGGATGGAGAACAGCAGAAACGCTGACCCCAGCACTGCCTCTCTGGGAAAGGAGGGTAATTACTGTTTATAGTGACAACTCTCCTGCTAATGGATGCCAGCTAAGCACTCCTGAAAGCAAAGCTGGGCACCAGCACAGCCCTGAACTTTGAAGTCTGTGTGTTTCTACTGCGAACGTGACTTAGGACCTGATCTCTTCACCCTGTCTGCTCCTATGGAGAGGCTGTGCTTAGTGTCCACGCTGGTGGTGCTGGCTTTCCTCCTGCAGTCAAGGCAGGTCACTGGAGTACCTGCCAACACAAACCTTCACCGCGTCAGATACACGAGAATCTACAAGCTTTATGCTCTGAAGACTCTTCAGAAGCTCAGCTGTTACCAAAAAGGAGCTCTACACATTCCTTTCTTCTCCACAACCTCACAGTAATGAGCCAGGAATCCCTCTTTCTAGATTTATTAACATACATGCCCAGCCTTGAAGGCAGACTCTGCCTAAAAGCCTGACTACTTGCCCAACCAGTACTCACTGATCTCCTCACTCTAAGCTTGACTGCGATAAAGAATAAAGATGTCCTAAGCATCTTTTGAAGCCCAGGAAGGAAATGGCTGAGATGCTTTCAGGAAGAGCTCAGGACATGTGCTTGAAGTAATAATATCCCCAAAGTAAAGGTCTGTGATGACTGGGAGGGAAAGGGACCCCCTTAACATGGGTGGGAAGCACTGAGCCATGCACTGTGGAGGAACAGATCAGGGTGTCAGTACAAACACTTCAGAACAGCAGTTTTATTGGGCATTTTGCACAATACCGACACACAGGAGCCTAAACCCACGTTGCCCAAAGCAGCAAACCTCTGGGCACGGCTCTGCCATTAATGTTCTTACTGGGGGGGAAACACCTTGACAGTCGGCATTGAGAACAGCGTTAACCAAGCTGGAAGAACAGGAGATGCCAAGGGCCATCCACCCAGCCTATCCAAGCCTCCATGACCTGCCGGGCTGGCACAGCTAGAACAGATCCCCCTTCAGAGCCTGCAGCTTGCCAAGGAGCCCAGCCACACACAGAGGCAGCCAGCACAGGGCCAAAACTCACACACTGAAGCCTCTCAAGGCAAAGAAAAACATTGCATAATGAAGGTTTCTTCATGCACATCTGCTTGACAGGCTTCCAGCCACAGTCTGAGCAAAACTCTTCTAGCAGGCAACAGTTTAAATAGAAAACATTTCCACATACTCTGGTGAGTGGAACACAATCGAGGAACGCCCTTTAGCTCCCATCTCTGCGATGGCGCAACGTTCGCTTCCCCCCAGCACGTTCTGCTGAGATTTGTGCCAACCTGTTTGTCTTCCTGGGGCCTCCACAGGAAGCTGAGACCATGAGAGCTCAGCTCTCAGGGACTGTAGCCCCAGGAGATGCCCCAACTGCCTGTAACTCACAGTGGGACCATTCTCCATCCCCTGCTGAAGCTGGGCCCCTCTGCAGGAGTCATGAGGCCAGAAGAAAATCCACCACATGAAGGCAGGGGCTGTAACCTCATGCTGGGACCCTCTGCTGGGAGTGCGATCCCTGGATGCTGGCTCCACTCTCAAAGCTTTTTTATGCACTTTCAGCTATTTCTGGATGTAAAATGCATTGCACTTGGGCAACTTAGGCATTTCATGAAGAGCCTTAATAGCTCCCTATGCATCTTCAGATAGATACAGACTGGACTGAGCAGTGCTCTCCTTCCCCATGGGCAGCAGTGGAGGATTGTGAGTTTAGATACACAAAAAAGAGCAAGCTACCTGAATATTAACTTGGGAATTACTATCAGTAAGTGCATAGCATCCAGAAATCCCAGTTCCTGTGATTTATCAGCCGATTTCAACAATGCTGATACATTGTGCCATGAACTGGTGACACTCTGGGGAACTCCCATGGAGGGATCATATCTCACAAGAACAACTAAATGATAATACCCTTATTCTCTCAAGTGAGGACAGGAATATCAGCACATCAGGCTCTTGACCTTTCCTATCACTAATGCATCATCCCACGTATCAGAACAGGGAAACTACAGAAAGCCCAGCCAGGACATAGGTAATTTGCCTTCTGGGCACATGAGAGTGGAATATCTATGACAGAGAATAATTCAAGAGAAATATGAACAGCACATTCATGACTGCCAGTGAAAGAGAGATTTGTGCCCTCAATATATCACAAACTTATCTTGCTATACACATGAGAACTCAACAGTGGCATGGCACAAAATCAACAGCCGGAACAAGTGGAAATGGAAGCAATTGTGGGTAACTTCTGTTCTGGAAGGTCTTCACATTTCCAGACCCTGCTGTTCTAGTCCTTCATTTATTTTTGGTGTTTAAACTATGCCTGGCAGACTTGTCAGGGAGTATCGGCAACACTCAGCCAGCTCTCAGCTGTCTCACATGAGAGAGAGTGAAATGGATTCCTATATTAATGTGTCTTTAACCAACGCAGTGACAGAGGACAGCAGCTCTCAAAAGCCCCAGAAAAGATGCAACCAACCTTGGTGAACTGGTGAACGATGATGTGCAGGCAGTGCCTCTTCATGTCCAGTGCCTGGGTCTTGTCAGCTGCCTCTAAAATCTAGAGCAAAAGCAATGATGTGATCTTCCTTCCGCATAGCTCAGAGGTACAGGGCACAAACACTGCTCTGACTCAGATGAGGCAATTCCTCTGAGCTAGGGAAACATCTCCAGTTTTCTGAACTATTGAAAACTAAAGTCTTGGATTTAAATGCATTGAGTCCCCAGGAGATAATCAGTAGGAAACTGCAGATCTGTTTCAGAGCCAGGTTCCCTGAAGTGCCTGGTGAGACTGGCAAGAGCCAAAAGCAGTTAATGCTGGAATTGATTCTGCTTGTGTTGCAGGGGGTTCGGTCTGCCTACCTAGTAGATGGCATTGTAGGCTTTCTTATCACAGAATATTCTTTGTTAGCTTAAACTTCATTGCCAGATCCTCTTGGCATTTACTGATAAAACAAGATTAATGTCACCTGCACATCACCATTTGCCCTGGTACAAATGTCTACCAAAAAAAAAGGGTTTGGAGTTGAGTGCAGTGCACATGGTACCTCTTAAAAAGACCCTTGGAAACACTGGTCTACAATGGGGGGATGAGGAACATCCTGTTGGCCAGTTGAGCATTATCTACTAAACACTTCAGCCCAGGAGCACTGGTGACACAAAAAGCAGATAAGGAAACAAAACCACCTGAGCCTGTGCTCCTACAGTGGCCATGTAGGACCACTGGCATTAGAAGGGTTTGTGCAGTCTCAGTGGATGTGAGTTTGGAGGTGACTCAGTGAACCTGGCACTAGGGGTACCCAGCTGACCAGACCCTTCCCTGTATCTAATTCAAACGACTAATGAAAGCTGCTTGGGGACAATTACCTGTAGTACGTTCTCCACTGTGACATTCATTTCTAGGTTCTGCTTACAATAGGCTTGCAGTCTGTTGTTGGAGAAGCCGTAATAGTAAGGTGCAGCAAAGAGGTAGCTATTCATCTCATTAAGGAAACAACTGTAAAGCAACCGTGGCAGACGTTAAAATGCAGCCTTGAGCTGCAATTTTCCCAGGCTCTGCCTGGCAAGGAAAGCGAGCTGCTGTACGTGCACGTTAGGCAGATACTTCAATTCCTTTAGATATAAGGATACAGGGAGTCTTCAGGAGGCATGTTTACTTCTCCATAATAAATGTATCGAAGCATTGATTCAAATGCTTGCTTGCTGGGAACCATTTCACCTATAGAAATATTCACTTGCCCATCTTCTGGCATGAAGGAACGGAACATGGCTTCAAAGTAACTGGAAAAGGAAGTAAAACTGATGTACACATTCTGCAGACAGATTGTTTAACCCAGTATTGTTCAGAGGCTGCTGTTAAGCACTGCAGCTTCCAAAGAAGCAAATTCAGGTGACAACCTGGGCAAAACC